TTTTGAAGCAACCAATGCATGAACATTTAAAGGTGGAGTAATACGGACAACAAAATTGCTGCAACTTGCAACAAAAACTGATTTCAACGCATGTTAATTGAAAATTTTCACACATACATTACAAATCACGAGGCAATATGTGTCAGCATTTCTACTTAACATGCGTTGAAATCAGATTTTGTTGCAAGTTGCAGCAATTTTGTTGCTCGTATTACTCCAGCTTAGAGCAAAGTCAAAGTTGCTTGTGTTTTAAAGTGGCACTCGCGTCAAAATTTTTATTTTTTTAAACGAAAATGCTCTTAGAACTGTATAGTAACTTGTTTGTTGATTTTTGTTCCGATACTTAGTTCTTCTGATATTTCATTTTGTTCGTAACCATGTGACGTCATTTACTCAATTACATCATCGTCATCGTCATCGTCATCGTCATCATCATCATCATCATCATCATCATCATTATTATGGTTTATTACATATTTTCGCACACGTATGTGAATTGCAATATGTTTACAAGAAAGTTATATATAACAAGTACGATCGTACTATAGTGGACCAGGAACTCAGTGCGTGACCCAGTTTTGATCTTGTGCAAATCGTTAAACGTTCAAAACCTTCGAGATTTTGACTTGATAAACAAATAACTAGACACTTGTGAAACTAATGTTCTCGAAGTTGGTAACCGGTAGACGGAGTTCGCTAAATGTGTTTCTTTAATTTGGTCATGCAAGATATACTTTATCCGGGCAAAATGTGTCTAGTGCCGTGTATAGCCTAAATGAGGTGTAAATCTGGACAAAGCATAGATAACTAAATGCGCAGTTTTCAAAAGTATTTCCTCGCATTTGAATTCGATAGATAAGTTAAATGTCCCACAATATTTACAATGAACATGCCGTGCCTAAGTCAGCTAACTTTTGCGGTACATCAAATTTTGCCGTGCAGTGCGTGCTATTAATTGCAAAATATTGCAGCCACAGTCGTGTACGTGCCGTGTACGGGGCTTAAGTTAAGGTAACAAATTATCTGAATTGTTGCTTGGTTAATACACTTTCATCTCGCTTAGTCATGGCTTCATAACTGCATGCTTGTGCTAAAAACAAATTTACATCTCTTTGTTTTTACGGTTCACGATTTTCTATCGGACTATGAATACCATATGACAGCCATGCATATCCGACTCGTCCCCAGTCGCTTTAAGAGCGGGCGCGCGGCCAGAAGTGGGCGCGTAGAGGCTCACGGCAAGGGCGAAAGAAGAAAATTTAGCGACTGGCAGATTACTGTGATTTTTCTTGCAAGAAATTGTTTTTCTTGCAAACTAATATTTTATGCTTCAATTTTGGATTTTTTGACATTGGTATACATAAATCGATCATTTTATGATGTAGTCTCTGCAAAGTGCGTATTTTTATCAAGTATATCGGCCTTCAATTGGTCAAGTTTGGAGTACTTCAAAATGGCGGACTCTGATGAACTTAGATGGTGAGTCTAAAAGATAATATAATACATTCTACCACTTGAATGTCTTGAATTTGTTGACCCTTTGAGCCGTAGCATAAATTTGCGTATACTAAAGAAATTAAGAAACTGGAATCATTATACGCTCGGCTGATTAGCGCCATGTTGCCTTGTTTCAAGTTGTAATTTTTGTCGTTCTGAACTATAGACTTCAATTCCATAAATTCAGATGAATGTCCTAAGACCAGCACTCCTAGAACTCCTAAAGCGAGAAAGTTACTGCGATTTGACGTCAAACACGACCTAACACTAGATTCTAAGAGTCCGGGATTACCAAGAAGGCAAGAACTAAATGCAGGAAAGTTGTTCAAGGTTGGAACTTGTATTTTTAATAAGTCACTTGTTTGAATGTGCAGGTGATGTTGGCACATTTGTTCCTGGAGATCTTCAGGGCTCTTTAAAGACTATATGCATCAAAACAGATGGGTTGAGACTTAAACAAGAGGATGTTGTTACTGATGATCTTAGTGTAAAAAGCCACCTTTCAAGAGCTTTGGCAGCCATATTTCCTAACTGTGAAAAGAAAAGGGTGTTGTGCGAACATAAACAAATATATTCTTTTTACATGTGTAAAGGCTGATGTGCATATGTAATACATGATCAATCCAATTCATAACATTCTATTACAAATGACATAATATTTTTATATTTGTCTGGTATATTGTGTTTTGGTTAATCTTCCTCAGGATGCTACGTCACAGAATAAGGTACACAGAAGGCCGACTTCTTGGGTTTTCCTATGATTTAGGCGTAACCTGTAATTCGTCATCAAATGCTAACGCCATGGTCCTAGCCAGTGCGCGTTTGAGAGGCATTCACCCCCTGATATTATTCAAAATGGCGAACGTCCAGGGGGGAATGCCTCTTAAATGCGCACTGGCTAGGACCATGGCGTCAGCATTTTGATGATGAATCATGGTGTGGCAGTGGTTACTCGAGTCGACCTTCTGTGTGCCTTATTCTGTGGCTACATGCCCCTCACTCACCTTCCCCCCTGAATTTTTCTGCACAACCACCCACCCCCCACCATGCAGATAACATATGAAAGTATAAAGCTTTATTAAGTTAATATAATAGACATGCTCCACTACATCATGTACACTAACTGTAATTATAATACATTTTAGTTTTAAATTAATTTAAAATTATTCACTGTTAATAATTCCATTGAAGAAGTCCAATTAAAATGGTTCAAAATTAATCCAGCTTTTGTGTCTTCAATTTCCATACATCTTGCTTGGTACTGCAGTATTTTGCCACCCAGATCAAGATTAACCCTTTAAGTGGCAATGCACCCTGATATGCCCTACATTATTATTTTACTCTGTCTAACACCAGACAATTTACTCATCAAGGGAGAGTGCTGTCACTCTAAGGCTTAATTGGGAAACCAGGGTGAGTCAGGACAAATTCCCAATTGTGTGATAAATGGTGTCCCAATTGTAAGATAATTCTGGAATAAACAAGAATATATTATATGTTGTAAAGTTGAGTACAGAAATGATGATGGGAAAAACAAGAGATACCAGAACCATTGGTGGTGCAATTATCAGACTTAATGGTATAACAACCAAAAGTCAGTGCCGTAGCAAGTTCGATAATTGGGGGGGGGGGGCCCTCATATTCATATATTCATATTCACAGTCCATAAAAACAATCCATTTCAAAAGAAATTAATAACGCAGAACACGAATATAATATATGAATATGAGCCTCCCCCAATTATCGAGCTTGCTAAGGCACCGAAAGTGGCCCTAAACGTTGGCCATGATACAAGGTAGAAATTACCTTATCATTTCAAGGACTATGAGTGCAAGGATTGTCAGAACATAGTTAGAAGTAATTGCCAGATTGGCCCCAGTGCATTGATACAGTATTTCTGGTTTTTCAAATTGTTTAATTAAGGCTATGATAGGAGTTATGTGCCACCTGAGCTTCTATATTATCCCTACAACCCTGTGCCCCCCAACAATGTGTTGTTAATGACCAATGTAACGTCTTTTCATCATACAGCAACATTTAGTTACGGGGGGGGGGGTATATTTTGTTATTTACAGGTATTTTGGGAAATATTTGAATGCTCCAAAAGTCTTGTCATTGATTTAATAGCCTTGTATGCAAAGTTTTAAGTTGGCACATAATCATATTACACAAAACCTGGAGTTAATAGCACTTTATAAAGTAATTTATAAATAACAAAAATTTGTAGTTTCAGCAACCAAATTGTGAAATACACAGGTTGCAAAAAAACCCCAGCAAAAAGCTGTCTTCTTTATAATTGATTGATTTCGCTTTATATCTTGTGAATAAGTCGAGGAATTCGTACTGATAATGGCTGAGGAATTGCAACTGGCTTGGATGGGAGATTTCGACTCACTGAAACAGTTTGTCAGCGAAAAACTTAATCTAAACGGCGAATGGGTTAGTCCAGGAGGCGATAAGAAATTATTTAATGATGGCTACATATCTATTTCGTGGCGGAAAAATAAGAAAGCCTTGCTGATCGACGGCGATGATCGGGAAAAATTTAAGAGTAAACTCTGCAGGATGATCTGTGCGAACGACTTCAACAAAGGGAATATGTGCGAAGAAACTAAGACTGTGAATGTTGAATGCCGGTCCGCCTCTCCTATGCGAGCGCCGTTAAGCGAGCTATCAACCGAGGTGGAAGGCATTAAACTCGATGTAACGATAGCAGAGCGGAAAATAAAAGTAAATAAGAGTGCTATAAGCAAAG